CAGGAATGGAAAGGGGGCGTCGAAAATGGGGAGTACGAGGGTGTGAAAGCAGTGCCAGAGTGCGCAGCATGCGCATGCGTGTGTGTGTGTCATACAGCATGATGTATTCCTGAACGCACCACGTGCGCTATGCGCGGCGTTTGTCCTTGCGTCCTGGCTCAACACGCCTTGGCAGTTGCCATGCGGGACATCGAGTTCGTGAGTTGACGTCATTCTATCTCCCAACAGGCGAGTTAATATTGATAAGTAGAAGCGTTATATGCCCTGAATGTCGGGATGAAGGGACACGAACTGGCAATGAGTCGAATAAACGTCGATCAGAATGTTTCGCGAATCACAAACTATAATGCAACTTCTTTGGCTACTACGTCAATGTACAAGGTGTCAAACAAATATGTAACGTTTCTTGTTTACAAATAGATTAATTTAAATTATTAGATGTTATTATAGATAATTTCAGATTATTGATTAAAGACCAAAGTTCAGATGTTGGACTTGTGCATGTAAACGCATCATGAATAAGGTTGCTGCTGCGAATCGATAAAATGCAATATGGACGAAACGAGTTGGAAGGGGGTTGCAAAGGTCGTACAGATCCCCGAACGCTCGAAAACTCAAAATGGATCAGGGGTGGATTCGAACCATCTGTACCTACAATTCTGGAGGACAAACTCCTAAACCACAATACATAAAAAGTATTAATGAGCAATTCGTATTTACGCCCCATGGCTTTTTTGTCAGTGTAAGCTACATTGCACTTTGTCAGTAGGTTTATGTGGGAATAACAAGATGGAGATAGAAATAAAGCGCACTATCATGAAATACAAATGTCACTTTTGAATAGGCGAAGGAACACGTATATTGACTATCTAGAATAAACATGTAATAATCTGTATTGAAATACAAAGTGTGTCTCAAATATTTACTTTAATTCGCCACAAGTTGAAAAATATGATGAAGAACTTTACTTGAGCCACTGTATTTGAGTATATTATTTAAAAATGAAAGTATAAGACATAAAAGAAACATTTTAATTTTATTATGCATAATAAATTTCCAAAAGAACATATTCTTTATTCACACAAAAAGTCATACGTTAAAACCTAGGAATTATATTTAAGGTGTTGCTGGTAAAGGTATTCAAGCCTTCAACGCTAAAGGGTTAATAATGTAAGCAAAGGAACGTGAAGTTCCATTCGAGGCCGACATTCCAGGAACAACTTGTTAAAGGAGAAATTTATCGGTAGGTTTTACGGCTCTTCTTGGTTGCTCTGCCTTTACTGCAAAGCAAATATAGGGAAATGGGACCAGAGCTGATGATATGTCGGAAGGGAGGATCCAGTTTGCGCGAAACGTCTGTTTAATCACGGCTTTCCAGGTCAGATACGCGGCGCCTGTTAAACATTAAATAGATGATACGGTTTTATTTTCTGTCATTTAAGTACTTCGTTGATAAGTAGATGAGATAGATACTGACATGAATTTTGGTTCGGACAATTTTATCTGAAAATCTTTTTTATAAATGCAATTTCTAGATTAAAATGTAATATAATATACACATTTAATAAATAACTAACCTAGAATATTAAACATTTACATTTACGGAAACACGGTTTAAAAACACTTTCTGTAATAAAAATCAATATGGCCGCCGTTTGAATACCCCCATGGTCTCAAAGTGTACTTAATATAAGTGTGCTTAACGCAACGTGTATTCTGATACGCTTTTCTCATATAGCGCGTGGCGCCAATATGGGTACACAGTACACTCGATTGTTTCTCTCGAATATTTTCTTTCGAAAAGAGAAAGCTGACCCTTTCGAAAAGAGTTCTGCATGTCGTTACCTTATACCTTTCTGGGTTACCGGATCCGCGAATGAGAAAGACGATATCAATGCAAAAACTTCGGCAACGCAAGATAGTAGCTAACCTCGAAATTTTCGTTCACAGAATCAATAATTCTTCTATGATCAATCGATGTAACGAACTTTATAAATGTAAAAAAATTAATGTTTCGAAAAGTAAAAATAAAAATATATAAAAATAACTGCTTCTAATAAATACATTAATACTGTTGTCGCTCTAGATGACATGTCGCGAAACATATGAAACAATGTGCCTAGTCTTTACGTTTCAACGTATCTTATAACTTAGGGCGAGAACCTTGAGTATAACGCGTTTTCTTCATACCGGTGCCCGATGTAATACGAAGATAGAATATGTATAACACACTAATGCGAAGAACAGTAACCGAGAGAGATGAAAAGCGGAAGCCTGAAGAAGAAAGACTAAAAGATGAAAGAAGACGAGGAAAGAAAAATACGGGACCGGTGCATGTCTCTACGCAAGCCACGTGTTTTACCACCTGCCTCGACTAGACGTTCGATAATGGAAAAAATATACACGCGGATCATTTAAATATTCAACTACCATGGGGATATTTCTTGAGAACAATACAAGTTTTGCAATGTCTTAAATTACATAGGTTGAATATCATAGATTACTTGTTTCACTAATTCTCAGTCTTTTTTTCTTAGCAATGAATAAAATTGAATTAAATTTTATATTTGCTTAACATTCAATTTAATATGAAAAGTAAAATATCCTGTGTCCTTATGATCTTGGAGAATTTTTAAATACAAAAAACATTGAAACAAAAAACATTTAAGTAAACTACGTATTATGAAAATAAATACCTTTTAAAAATTTGTAATTTTGTTATTATGAACGGGGTTAATTAGCAGAAAACTACTTTCAATCGATGTATGTTTAATCGGGGAATTAATCACCGCAAACAATATAATACAAATATATGTAATATAGATTTATTATGGAACGTCAAGGATAGAAAGAAATAAAAAGAAGCGACAAAGATGTTCACGTTTTACAAGAAAGAGATAAAGAGACTTACCTCTTTCTGATAAACCGCATATCGATCAGTGCTGCATTGTTCGCTGATGGCTACCCGATCCAGAAACACGGTTAACAAGACACGATTTATTACAATAAATTTTCGTCGGTCGTCGAACTTGACAACATGGCCGAACTCACCCTCGACTGAACAACAAAGATTCGCAACCTCTAAGGGAGAAGACGTATCGACGACTATATGTCAAAGTACGAACACTTTTCATGAACTGTACGTGACACAAAAGGACACGACCTATCGAATGTATGTGTTTGATGTGTTACTTTTGTTTACACACAAAACTTGACAGAAGAAACTTAGATTTCACGTTGCCAGATTATAGGTCATTCGACATTCGCACCACGCAGTAATTTCTCGCGCGAAAATTAGTGGAAACGTGCAAATTAGTGTCATCTGTTGAGAGAATTGTTAACTATGTTATGAATTTTGGTAATATAAATCTTGTGAACGCATCGATTAAGTGAAATACTTTATGGTTTTATTTGTAATTATTATTAAATTATTCTATTAATTTGTTTTTTAGAAATTAGGTTTTTCCTATTTTATTTTTATATTTTTTTGGTATATTTAAATATTTTATGGTATATTTAAATATGATTTTTTATCTCACATTGGATATCTTTCGTATAAATTTGAATTAATACAACATAAATAATATAGAATTATACGTATTATTTTTTGCAAGCAAAGTATAGTAAAATTAATGAACTGCTACATGGAAGTCTGCAAAGAGAAACTGTCATCTATCAAAGTGGTAGAAATTGTAATATAAGTTCCCGCGTAAAATTCGTTTACGTATAACAACTTTTGTTATCTATTGTTCTTAAAGAAACTTTACACTATACTACCAAGGATGAAATTTAGATGTAGAATGGTGGATGTAACTGCAATGAGAGACTTTACCAGTGAGTTTAAATTTTGGAAATCGTTTCTAACCTTCTTCGGCAGGTTCTTGAAATAATTGTACACTAAAAATTTAACAAAAAAGACGATGATTGTATATGGCCAAATATTAATAAATGTCACTGTATTTGTTATTGTTATTATTTTTTATCTACAGAAAGAAGTTCGATAAAAATTAGTTAAATACCGAGCATAATACAAACTTGTTTATCAAATACAATGTAATAAAAATGATTAGTATTATATAATGATATTAAAATTGTTCATTAATTATATAAAAATATAACAACAGTGAAAATAACTTTATTTCAGATATTGTTAACACTATCTCTCGAATAACAAAACAATGTACCTTGCGATTAACACCGAACGAGTTGTGCTTCAGTGTCGGCGATGATCGTGCAGCAATGATTTGGGCAGAATTAATTCAAACCCATTTCTTTACTGAATATATTATGAATGGAGTATCTGAAGAGCAGAATGAAATTTATTTAGAATTCGATCCTACTATGCTCGGTAGATCTCTAACTTCTCTACGAATGACTGCGAAAAGTGTGAAAATCAAACTAACAAATAAGCGACAACCGTGTCTTACAATAGAAATTGAATTACCTTCGTTAAGCATAGAATCAAGACAATGTTTGCATGATGTACCTGTCAGGGTTATACCACGACGCGAATGGGCAGAGCATCAAGCACCAAATATTCCCGAATTTGATGTATAGACAATTTTTCCACCTTATTTTATTTATTTTTTAATTAATATTCCTTTTGAATATTTATTTTTTCTAGATTTCAGTTGATATGCCACAGCTTAAATATATAAGAAATATCGTGGAAAGAATGAAAAATATGAGTCAATGGTTAACGTTAAGTGCTGATAATACTGGCACTCTTGTCTTGAAGATTGATAATGATAGCGCCACAGTATCTACACATTTTCAAGATTTGCAAATTTGGAGTTGCAGTCAACAAAATCGGGAAGATAAAGTATCTGCAACCATAGATATTAAAAAGTTCTTAATGTTTTTGGCCTGGGACATCGTACATCCCGATGGCGTGAAATGTAATATACTTCAAGATAGAATGATTAATTTGTTCTTACATTTAGCAGATTATCTTAAAATACATTATTTCCTGCCTTCCGTAGCTATTTGAATTACATTAATTTTGATAATAATGCTTTAATATAATATAAATTCTTTATTTTTTATACAACCTGTATTTTTTTTTAATGCATAAAAACAATTGGTATAAAATGTACTTTCCGCATTATACAGTTATCAAATTTCGGCGACTAACATTAATTATATGCTAAGCTGAAGCTTCGTTCATTTTCTTGTCTAAAATTTTGGTGCATTTGATCTATCTGCTGTATTTTCTGACTGAGTAAAGTTGTCTGTTGATCTAACCACTGCAAACTATTCATATGTGCGTTCAGTATCTTGCCGATTTGCACAATTGGGTCACTAGAATCTTGAGTACGATTGGCTTGATTTAAATGTTCAATAATTTCTTTTAAATCCTCCGACATTCGTTTCAATTGTGTATCAAGATCTTCTGCTAAACGGTAAGTATATTCTCTTTCTGGATCGGAGATCGAAAGAGACGCTAATTCTTTCTCTAGTGGTACTAAACAATCTTGTAATTCTTTTTGTTGCCCAACCTGTATTTGTAAATATATAGTTGCAAATATAAGTTTTTTATTTTATATATAATTTAGTAAATTGTAATAAATAACTTACAACATAGTCCAATTCGTGCTCTAATTGCTGCTGTTCAATCTTGACTCTTTCTACTTCTTGATTGAGTGTTACTATTTTTTCACCATTGGTTATGAGCAATTTATCCCAAGTGTTTACTTGAGCAGCTTGATTTACAAATACTTTTTCTTGTTCTTCTAATTCTAAGGTCCATTTATTGATAGATTCTTCAAATGAATTTATAGAAGCAGGTTGAAGCGAACCCGTGGATGAACTAACACTGTAATATTTCACTTAATAAGTAACATAATTATGGTAACCTGTGTAATAATAATAAAAAAACACACATACGTTGTGGTTGTACCCAAAGATGCTTGAGTACTTGTAAGACTTGCTGTAGCAGCAGTTTGATTTAAAGAAAATCCCGCTGTGCTAGTTGCAGTTGTTTCTGTACCAAAAGTGAATCCTGTGGCCGCAGAAGTTGTTCCACTTGTACTTAAAGAAAAACCTATAAAACCAAAAAACAAGAATTATTTCATAAAATAAAGTTGAATTGTTTTAATAGGTATTTGAAATTCAGTAATTAATACCTGTTGCTGTTGTAGTTGCAGTTGTTGTAGTGGTTGCAGCAGGTGCTGTAGAAAGAGTAAATCCAGTTCCTGTTGTCATTGTATTTGGTGTACCAAATGTTAAACCAGTTGCAGCAGTAGATACAGCTCCTTTATTGGTTCCCAAAGCAAATCCACCAATAAGTGGTTTGGATGCAAATGCTGTTGTTGCTGTTGTTGTTGTGGAAATAGTAGTACCTCCTACACTAAAATTTAGTGCAACAAATCCTGTAGGTGCTGTTGTAGTGGTTACTGTAGGAGTTATACCAGTACTTGTAGTTGTACCAGTACTAAATGTTAAACTTGGAGTTTGCGAAGGTGCAGTATTTGGAGGAGTTGCAACAGATGTTTGAAAATTAAAGCCACTTGGTTGGGCAGAAGTACTGGCTAATCCAATACCAAAAACACCACCAGGTTTATTTTGTGCTGATGTGGATATAAGTGAAAAGCCTGTTGATTTTGCTGCATCTCCAGCACCGTCAACTCCAAAAGTAAAAGCTAAAAGAAAGATTCATATTATGAAATAGTAAGAAACTTTAATTATATTTTGATTATTATAAAATATCAAATTTACTTGTAGTTGGGACACTGCTTGTAGAAGTGGTACTAGCCTGAGATTTTGAAGCATTGTACGTGAAACTCATTTTTAGTTTTTATGTTATAACACCTATAAAATGATAAGTATCCAAAATTTTAATGAATCTTTTATAAGAATGTTGAATTTTTGTTCAATAACTATGATATACTATATATTTTACTATAAAGCTTTATAAATAAATTTACAGTTAACCTTATTTACTTCAAATGTCACCGATTGTGAAATAAATATTCGAACAGTGAATAATAGAATTGAAAATAACAAACACCTTAAAGAGTTTTAACACTGCCTACTTTACTTACTGCCAACTCTATTTTCATAATTGAATTGAAATCACTTTGTAATTGCAACTGGAAAGCACGCTTAGTAGTTTCTAACCAATAAGGAACTAGATCAGGTAAAATTAATCGAATGCAGTGCTTCCTACCACATATCGTGCTATAGATGGCATGGTAGTAGTACGTGATTCGTTGTGAATAGCTTTTAAAGTTTAAATTAACGTTTTTTAGAAATAATATTTATAAATTAAACTAAGAATTATTAATAGTAAATTTTATAATCATATTATTTGTCTATTAAAAATTGTGTAGTATTCTGTATACTGTATAACGAAGTTGATGAAATAAAAAAATTATAACAAATCAGACGTGAAAGTAAACCATTATGTTGCATTTTGTATAAAGCGTGAACGAGTGAAGTGTGTATTCATATATATTCCATCACTAAAAATATGAACGATGTTATTGAACCTAACCTCTAATCGGAGCATTACATCAACGTTTTAATTTTTTTTATTTCGATATATGATTGCTGCTATATGCGCCTATTTTATGCTTGAAGAGGTTAATTAAATTATTACATTAATATCGCATGATGAAACCACGCATTATGCTTAAATAGAGTGTACGCATATTCATTTGGAATGTGAGCACAGAAACTTTTAGCCGGTTGTGTATTGATGATTGGTTCTGGACCACTGGCGATCTGCTTATAAAAGTCGTGTGTTACGACCCACGCAATCATTTTCGTTTCCTTGTGGTACTGTGTGGACGTGAAATCTTTTGTATATCTAATATTCATCGTTTTACGGATTGAATCATCTAGTATGACGTGTGTGAAGTCTACGTGCTCCGTGTGGAAAATAGTGTCATTTATTTAATTTATAACAGTATATCCATAAGGCGCGAAAATTGTACCGTGTGGATATACTTATTTCAAAACTGGATTGTACAAATTCGTGTATTGTGAAGAATAAACGTAATAGATTCATTGAAATACAAATTGTATCTTATATTAACTATTACATCAGTTGTATACATGCAGCGTATGACCATATATGTTTATAAAGTGTTCTGAAGGAATAAGACTTTAAATCAATGTCGTAGAAATTTAGAAAATCAATGATTTATTATATTACATTGATGAACGATTGCTAATATCTCTTTTGAATATTAACATCAATACTTCGTGATAAAAAGTGAATGCCGCTGTATTGCTACAGAATTTCGGGATGATCTTTTTTCTTTTTTTAGCAAATGACTGACCCAGTTTCGAAATAGCGGTTAATATGGCGATAACAGACTGAAGATTGCTCGAAATTAAAATGAATGTGATCTTATCCACAAGATAAGAACTATTTTCCCAGGTTTTCTGATTAACATACAGAAAGTATCATTCTTCCAAGTAAACATATAAAACACGTTTTGTGACTTTATCGATTGCTACTATAATTTGATCAGAATGTCACTAATTATTAGTATATGTGTGTGTCTCTATTTAATGAAGACTGTTCACAGTTCTACGTTAACTGCGCCTCCGCAATCGGCAGTAGTTATTGCTTTCGAAGATATTTATGATTTATCTTTGTTAGCGAATACTCTGTCGGATCAAGGGATCGATGCCACGTTAATTATACCGGCCTTTAGTAAGGACGAAGTTTATGAAACATTAATCGATGTCGAGGTGCTGACAGTAGAAGTCAATGTTGAAGAATCTGCGTACCCTGAGAGAAGAGCGATCCAAATCTGTGAAGCTTTCATAAAAGATGAACAGATCGCGAAGAATATACAGAAGATTCAACCAACCTTTTCCGTGTTTCCGGCAGTCAGGTACGTTTTATCATTGTATATGGTACAATAATATTTATAGCTTGCAAAAGGATTTTAAAAAGCGAGTTAAAACTACGTTAAACAGTGATATAAAATTGGTAATTATATTAAGTTTTCATAACCACATTTTGTATTGTATTAATCAGATTTTAATATCAAATCAGCAATCATTTTTTAGAAATAGTACACTTTCGGTACTTAGTTATTTACCTCTAAAGTATGAAATGATTCTAGAGTCCTTTAATTTTATTTTTAATTCTAGGATCTTTAAATATTATTCAGGTATTTTTATTTTTTAATTCTAATTTTTACTATTACGGAATTAATTAAAAAATTACAAAAGGTATCGTATAATGAAATATTCATTAAATTTTCAGACACGACGGGTGTTTGCTACCATGGGTAGAAATCATCGAATCCATTCCAGTGATAGTGACACGCAATCGAGAAGAAGAGTTGTACGTGTTTGAATATACTGGCGCCGCTTTGCCAGTCCAGAGTGCGGGATTTTGGACCAGGTTGTGGGCAAGTACCACAAGAAGGTCAACATTCTCCACAGTTCGTGATGAATACACGGTGTATGCTCTGCAGATAGCAAAAAAATATTTACCACATACCAATCTTAATATAGACAATCTTTATACCGATGTTCGCCTCATACTTTGGGATGCTGACGTTATCCTACGTTCGGATTTCGCACCGCTCACTCAACTGATAGTAGAGGTGAGGCTGATATCAGATGCTTACTTAACTTTATATCCTGTTCTCCTAGTAAAATGTTGTTCCACGTTCAAACCACTCTTGAATAAATTTATTCATTTTATTCAAATCATTGAACAAAGATTAAAAAAAGAACGTTATTTTAACAATTTTTTCATTGCAGGTCGGCTGTCATCACTGTAGGGGATCGTATTCGTTAAAGGGTGATCTACACAAAGGGTTAATTGAATATCGACTGGGTACCATTGCGGTGCTTTTGGACGAAAATTATGATACGTTAATTAAAGAACTTGCACAAAAATTACCGCAGGGCAGGGAGGGTCAAGCAGTAGTTTGGAAAAATAAGAAATGGCAAAAATCAAACGATGTTCTGCCAGAGAATCTTTTTGTTCAATCGAATATTGATCGACAGGATTTGATAGGTAAAGGATCAACATATTGAGACCTTATAACTTTCGTGTATAATCTTTACAAGTTTTTAAACAAAGCTACAGATATTCTTAATATTTTTTTTTTTTATTTTTCAAATGAAGAATACTTTTTTAATATTATTATTATATTTTTTCAGGCTATGGTCGTACAAGAGTAGTTTTGAGTCATTGTGCAGATACAGAGCTTCTAGAAGCCGCCTTCCATGGAACTCCAGTAATATGTTTCCCTAGAAATTCTTATGAATCTAGAAACGCTGCACGCGCAGTCCAGTTAGGTTTCGCACATTCCACTGAAGAGATGGGTATTAGTTCCAATGAAGAAATAGTAAACACTGTGAATCAGATTCACGAAACTGCGGATTACCGTGAGAATGCTAGAAAAGTTTCTTTAGCCATTCGTGATAGAATAAATCCTGCAGTAGATAGATTGATTTATTGGTTGCGGTACATGGCCAGGACTAAGGATCGGAACTTTGACTTTCTAACTCCAACTAGTTCGGTGAAAACATTAAACGAGGATCTTCAATTCTTTCTTGGTCTCTTTGTAGGTCTCATAATAGGGATATTTTCGGCAATCGGTTGCATGTTAGCAAGATACTTAGTTATATCAAAAAGAACGCAAAGATCAAAGGGAAGATATACACGATAAAAATGATCTATTAAAAAGAGAAAAAAATATGGAATCAGATGGCTAATTACGGACACTTTTCGCATATGTATTTATATAAATGCACGTAGAGTACAGGTACATACAAATACAAATGTTACGAGCTAGGGTTTATCTCATTGCTAATGAAGAGATGTAACTATTACGAGAATACTTGATCGATAAGATTGATTGATTGATTGATTGATTGATTGATTGGAAAAGCTAGAAAGTACGATGTAGCGTGTTATCGTCGACGAAGAGAGAAAAATAAATTACAATTTGTCAACACTGCGCTCTGTATGTTGTCTCGTTGCACGAGTGCTCGCTCGTGTGCGTTTATCGCCTAGATTCTTACAAACGTACGGACTAATCGGTACCTATAGTTCATTCGATTCTCTTTCTTTCTCGCTCGTTCGCTCGCTTTCTCTCTTTTAAGGCCATGTTCTTCTAATTAAATCAATTGCCTTCATTTATGTCGTGCAAACGGAGAATCATTATTCATATGTCGAATATACAGGGTGTTTCATATTAAACCTGAATATTCAAAATTATTTGAATTATTTGTTTCACTTTTTAAATGAACACTATTTATTTTGGTATTTTCTTTTTCACATTATATCATATTTCTAAAGCCATTCTTTTGATACTATTTTTGTAAGTATACAAATATATGTACATAAAAGTCATTAACCTATGACACTTTGATAATAGAAAAGTTCTTTTTAAAGTCTACTGTAAATTAATTATTTTTTACTTCTGATACGTAAATCGCGAATTATAAAATATTTTGAATGTATAGTTCAAATAGAACGCCCTGTATATTTGTGTATTATTACTGTCGACTCATATCATTATAGGTTTCGCGTTAACGCATATCGATTTATAGAAAAAAGGTTGTCATTACGTAGATGAATATAAAACAATCCGATTTTTATGTAAAAACATTTATCATCTTTGTAAAGAAGAAAAAAATATGGAGTATAAAACTCTGTGTGTGTTTGTTGTGCATATATATATACACACACACACACACATATGTATGCACGTATATATATGAGAATATATATATATGTACATACGTTGATATAAAAAATCGTTGTAAGTATAAAGAAGAAAAGAGAAAGGATAAAAACTGCCTCTTAAAGGCGAAAAATCACTGAGCAATCGTAATGAGAGATCGCAACACATGATCAATTCGGACTTCGTAATTGACTAGACTGTGATCTATTTAGATCAGTGTGGCTGAAATGCGACGAAACGGTAGCTTTCACTTCGCGCAGTGAGATATAAAACGTTACTCCCTATACCGAAGTATACAAAGGATATTGATAAACGTTACTGCATGATGATGAATAAAAAGAAACGAAACAAAACAAAGAAAAAAAGAGATGAGAGGGGGCTGCAGAAAACACAGGAGCGATCACTCTTTTTGAAAAGCTCCGCTTTCGTTTTCTCTCTCGACGCAGCATTCGATGAACCTAATTAACATCGATCGTGTTTACATGTACGTATGTTCGTGTGTGTATATGCTTATCTATATACAGCGCGGCAGTCGTGGACGTAAAATCTACAAAACGGTAAGAAGACAGTATGTACAGTCATTGGCAGAATTGTTCCCGAATCGAGTGACTCGAGGCGAACTGTCGAAAGCGGAAATACGTGTCGCTATCACGGCCTCTTTCTTCCTTTTTATCTCTCCTGCTACATTCTGTCCTCTATACACTTTTCTTCGATCTGAACTCTCGCTTTCGTAGTCCGCCTCGTTCCTCGTAACTCGCATTGTTCGCCGGTACACGGCTGACATACTGCGAGTCATGTACAGTGAGTCGCGAAAGTATTTAAACGCTTGCAGACGTATATATAACGCATATAGATCGTACGAGTTAGATTTGAACTTTTAAAGTGTGATGCTAAGCAGATAGAGCTCGCACAACTTCTGGACAAAAATTAGGTAGTTTGAGGACATTGTAAGGCGAACCTTTACTAATAAAAATTGGCCACCGTGCCGTTATATCTTTAGGCTTTCGCTTTTTTTTTGTGTGTATATATGGTTATCGCTTTAAGTATTTTGAGATGATATTAGCGCATTAGATTAGGTCACACAGAGTAAATGTTTATAATAAACATAAAAAATTATATTTTAAATTGCCACTTTTTTAAAAAATAATACTAATTTATGTAGTACGTTCAGTATATTCAGTATATATATATACTACTGTGTAGCTTATTGTTGATTATGTAATATGAATATTGTTAAATCTGCTGTAGTCAGGATAGTACTTTGAAAGCTTCGATTCAATCTTTATAGCGTTCAATTTTGTCATTTCCGGCTGCATAGCGTATAAGCATATTTTTGCCGCTCACTGTAGTTCGCTCCATATTTATGTGAAGACAAGGTGGTTCTATGCGCTAGAGGGCATTGGTATACAATGAGATACCTACACATTGTGGAAGTCTTTACTTCGAATATAAATAAGACTCTCGCGCCATACGCGAATGTGCGAGCATAAACAGAATGGAAGAAAAATAGAGGAAAAATGAAAAGAAAGAAAGAAACAGAAAGACAAAGAGGAAGAAAAAGGAAAAGAATGGTCATTGAGTGGCCTAATATCTTGCCTATATTACTCATCGTATTTCATCCTCGTGCTCAGACGCTCACATACTCGGACACTCGATTTCATTCACGCGAAAGACACACACGTTTCTGTACTACTATCCTCTCACTCTCTCCTTCTCGCGTCAGCAAAAACCGTAAATTATTAACATATTGAGTTTCAGCTTGAGATCAGCACGTTGAATATATGTTTAACAGCTTTTAATGTCGAATAAGAAATTCACCGTTACAAAGGAGAATACGACCAATTAAAAACGTTTTTTCAGTTTTGTTTTTCCTATGGTTATGTAAATTGTAGTAGATTATACTTTTAAATATGCTTGAATATTAATGTGATTTTTATCGCTGAATTTCAACATGTTAACATATACATAAATAATGATGCACCTGAGAGTCAGACTAGTATAATAAGCCACTAACAACTTCACAGACATCTTGTGCATATTGTCGCGAAGCTAATACTGAGACGATTCCAGTTTTCAGACAAGTATTTTTGACTTTGGAGTTTTTTCTATACAATGTTCCACTTATTAGTATTACCTTAAATATCTCTGCTGTATTTGATGGTAAGAATATTCGTTATAAGAAATCATCGTTCGTTGATTAGCCAAATATTTTTGTCAAGAAATAATTCTTTCAAGATCAAAGTTTAAAGATAATTAAAAACAAAACTTTGTTACATTACATTTGCACCATTGACTCGTATTTAAAATATTTTCAATCCATTGTAATGTGTTCTTTAACGGATATAGAAAAATTATCTTTTTGCAAAAAAAAATATTTCCTTGTTAACTATGTCCACCATGACAAGCAACAGAGATATTCAAAATGATCAATAACATCACGTTGTTTATCGAAAACGTTATACGGATACGTTTTATTTTAACCATTTGAAAACTAGGTATATGCCCAAGGTCAATGGTTGCCGAAGTGCGGTGGACTTATGACACTCTGACTGTCAGGTACAGAATGCACTATAACGTAACATGTCACACTACGTAGCCTCTCGCGGCAGTTTTCTCTACTCGGCTCGTGACTGACGCCCATATCAGGAGTCAGATCGGCCTCGATGAATTAACTTAAAGAAAAAATACAAAATAAAAAAAAAATAAAAAAAATATACGGGGTGGTAGATACGCGGTTTCTACCGTGATTCCGTCGCGACCATGAGAACGGGCCATCGTGTATCGAGGGATCGTGGAGAAACTGCCTCGACGCAGAGGGTCGTTAAGCACCTTTCGGTAGATAGGCCGACCGGAATGCAATTTTTCGCTTTCTTTTTTTCTTTTTTCTTCTTTTGTTCACCGCCTAATTGCATACGTGCTCCTCCCGTTTGTGCCGACACAGCTCGCACTTCACGTGACAACACCAGACGAACCGACAGTTGCATCTTTCGGTTACGTCCCGTACTCTCGTCTGGTAGCCCCGACCGCAGCATAGTAATCGACATCCGTCCAATCCGAGGGACGTTCGGTTGCATATCCTTCCTCTTGTCCCGGGAATACCAAGGCTGTAATGAGGAGTATTTAGAACATGTTGCAAATAAAAAAGATGTTGATTAGAATTAGGTTCATTGAGTATAAAGAATGGTAAAAGCGATTTTCTTATCTGAGGACACAAACGTTGTCACAGATTGTATGTAAATTGTAACAAATTATGATTTTAAACTTTCGTGGATACTAGTGCCCTCTGAATTTGAAATGACAAATAAAGTGGGGAATACAGAATTTTAGAATAACGTAAATCAAGATGGAATAGTAATCTTAATAAACACTACAATGAAAGTTTATCTTTCAGCGACACTTGATAATATTTTTCTTTAGTAATTGATTACAGGTTTTAATAGATTATAGTCCCTTTTTTAAATGCAATGTATTGAACTTCATTAAATGCTAGAACCAAATAATTTGAATGATATATGGTTTTTGAAAATAAAAATATTCTACTTCTCACGTGATATTTTTTTCGCAGTAGTCAGGGCTGTCTTCGAGGTACACTAGGTCCGTTTTATTAGGTCGTTTAAGGTCTGGGCGGGCAGGCCTCAATCTTGCCGGTCTTCTTCCGCCACGTTGTGCCAGTCGTACCAACGCTGCACCTTCGTGCAACGCGGCTAGTGCTGCTCCAGCCACCCTGAACGCTGGTAATCTTCTCCAACAAACGCGGACACTACACGAGCCAGACATACCTATTGCAACGAAATAATTCTGTTTAAGTAAATATTCAGTAGAATAAAAGAAGGTTATAAATACTTTGTAACATAAAACTTTGGGAACCTTGCTGTGTTATAATATGCTAGTAACTCAGATCATTTTTCGCATTATGTTTTTGAAAAAGTAAGAATAATTATGTATGTACACAGGGTACAGTAAGGACTTTCAGTATTTTCTGTAGAATTATTTAAAGATGTTTTCATTAGAACTATGTTCCTTAAAATAACTGCCAGAATATCTTAACTGCATATATATGAAATGTATCAAAATAAGTGTGACAAGCTATGTCAATCTTATAATTACAAAATCATGAAATATACTTAAATACAAATTCATGATAATACTTTCCATTTACTATCCTGAATTTATGAAAAGCGTTAATCATTTTGACAGAGTTTCCAAGTAAAATATTTGGTATTATATTTGATATCCTTTTCAGTCTAGATACTCGTTCATTCTTTATACCTAACCTCTTCGACTCATTCCAAGGAACAAGAAAACTTCGGAGAAACAGGCGGGGAAAGACGCTGTCGGTTCTTTAAGGCTAGTAAAACGGACATCACATTCCACGTTTTCACGGCATGCTTGGAGGCTGAAACAGGTCTCGGGAGAGGTTCTGCCCATGAATCTATGCACGCATGAACGCGGCGAACCAAAGGTGTGACAGAGGGAGAGAGCAGACAAGGGATTGGTGAAATCCTAAGTCGTTAAAGCGTAAGGAATGAAAAATAAGAGCGTAGATAGAGGGCCTTATCTGTAGAACGCGTTAATGGCTCACCGTGACACTTGCACACGCGTTGCATTCTTGAACGGACTGCGCGCCTGCCAGCTTCGCTATCGTGCTTCCTCATCAGCTGGCCAGCCAGCCCTTTCGGTCCATGCAGCACACCCTCCTTCACAGGTTCTTCACCACCATCTGACCATTCTCGCGAAAACTTCTCTCCAAAGTGGATGTCCTGAATGAGGCAAAAATGTTTTTAAAGTGAGCTTATTTTTGAGATCAAATTATATAAAGAAAATTGCAAAATAAAGATCAAAAACAAAGAATTCTTTTTGTCCTCTCCTTTCTATTATAGTATTGGTTAACACAACTTCTGAAGATTATTTGATAATATAATACATTTGTTTTCAAAGCTACAAAGTACAGAATTAAGCCTTGTTACGAAGCATAATCTAAAAAATAGAAGGTAAACAAGTAAAGTTTTTTAGATAATTATTTAAAGAAGAAAGAAAATAAAATTGGTTCACTTGTGATTTTTAATCATATTTAATCACTTATAAAGCGTCATACGTCTAAATAAAACAGTAAACTCGTTACAATGTCGAGCAACACTTGGACCACTGATGTCCTATATACATTTCTTCGTTAAGCGTAACTTTTATCCAACTAACTCGCGATACTCGATATTTCTGAGTGCCACTCAAACCATTATTGACCCAGTAACGTATCTGCTCCTTAATACCAACGATAACTCACGGTAAAATGGAAACAATAATTCCAAGAGGATCCAACAAGTGTACCAGTAAATACAATTTCACAGACAAACCAGGAAATTCTATACGACTCGTTTATGATAATCTTTTCACCCACTTCGAAATTTCCATTAAAAGGTATCGTTATTGATGGGCCATTGTTGACCCACGATAGTTTAGAGGTTAACATTTACTGCATGCGCGATAAATCTGAATAGTTTTATAGTATGAACGTATTTTTCTACAAATATCATTTGTTAATGCATAAAATGTTTTTGGAAAGATCATATCCCTAAAAAGGTAGAAGATAAGGAAGAATTTGAGTTGGAAAAGAAGCTAATGGTCGTAGTACAATGTTAATATTGACATTCTTTGTCAAAACAAATAACTTTTGCAAACTTAATAACAAACTGCTTTCAACTACCTACTCCTTCCCCACTGAAAATCCAATATTAACCCTTACTATACTTAGAAAGAATAAATGATCAGCTTTATTAATAGAATTCCTAAAAGATTCCTACAGTATTCTTTTTATAATTATAACATTTTATATTATCATGTTTTTATCACAATAATGTTTTCGTTAAACTCAGTGAGAATATCTAATCCTAAAAATTATTCAATTTCTGTACTAAGAACGTACATTTCACCAGAGTCATTATCCCTTCATTTTGTATACAACTTCCAATAATTAAAGACCCTCATTCACATATACACACATTCTAACAATTATCGATAAGTATCAGAAGGACATGTATTGGAGTCTCTTAGTGACCCCACTTTGGTACACCGAGGGTTAAACCTTCTTTCCTTGAGTAGCCCTGATTCGACTAGAGGGTAAGAAATTTCAACGAAAAGCGCCAACCAACGGACGTCGACTTATCGACGAGAGGTATACGGTGGCAGCGATATTTGTTAGCCCAGCCCGGGACGCGACAGTGTCGGCAAACATCATTATCTCGAAAATCTGTCAACGGGCTGGAGCGTAGACGAAACGTCCCACGGGATCCAACAGCGGCTCGTTAAGGAATCCGTGTCCGGAACTTGGTGTAAAGGCCAGAGGCCGCACAAGTGGGCGAGTGGGTAATCCCGAAGGTAAAAGCAGCGCCACTTTCCCGACACTTTCCACTCCTCTTCCTGCCACGTGAGTTCCTCGAGAGCACGTGTCTCCCTTCTTCTGTCTCTCTTGTTCCTTTTTTTCTTCCCCGGTCTTCCGTCTAGCCCGCCTTTTTTTCTCGCTACGCGCTAGTCTTTTCTCTGTTGTCTTTTCTCACGCTTTCCATTCTTTGTTCTCTTTCCATTTTCTTCTTGTTTTATTTCTTACCTCGTGATTTTTCATTTCTTCTTCTTCTTCTATTTCTCTTATTTCGGAGACTCGAATATTTTTCCTTCACTTAGGATATTCAATGTATCAAGGGTATTTACTTATCTCGTAGCTTCTCCAGTTTTTATGGAATCATGTTCAGTTTCCTGAGTCCTTAGATGTTTTACTAATCCTTGTAATTGTAAGGAAAAACGCTGCATATCACAATCCTAAACAATTCTGATTTCTCCATTATATGCATAGTAAAATATACAATTTGTGTATTTATCAAAAGAAGATGTATAAAATCAATATGATTGATTGCTAATCAGAAGAATGGATGTTCTGAACTTTGAACGGTAATAGTTAAAGGATAAAAATATGTGCCGTCTTTCCTTACAATCATAAATTGCTGATCAACGTTTCTTGAAGAGACTAAATTTTTGTTTTATATGTCTCTCCACGACATTTTCTTCTTGCTTTTCACCAATGATATAATTTTATATTTTATTCTTTCTTTCTTTATGTTCTCAAAAACGATGCCTTTGCTGGTCCTTCTTTCCTCCCCAATTTATCTCCTTTTTTAAATTCCTCCACACCACCCTTATCAATTTTTTTCATCCACGATTTGTTCTCGAGCTTCGTCTCCAATTGCCTTCCACTTCTTCCACCTCCCTCCTCATTTCTCTATCCATCTTTCTATTTATCCTCCACCTTGCTCTCTTTCTCTCTGTACGTATTTACGTTCGTGTGCATCACTCACGTGCGAGTTACGTGGCCGATATGTCCGGGCTGGGCGGGGGCAGGAGGTGGCGGGTTGTTGCAACTTAACAAGCTTAGCCCCCTTAATCCCCTTGTAAGCTAGCAATGTCTACAAGGGGTCAGCCGTACGCATGAAATGCATCCGTTTACAGGACGAGCTTTGTCTTCGTCCCAGGGTTAAGGTTTACGTCGACCGACCGTAGAGAGATCGAGACGACAAATTGGGGGTGCCCGTTCGGGGCAGTGCTTCCCCCGTGCGCTTCAGGGGTGTGCTCTGTTCTGGAGGGTCAACAGAATCGAGATTCTTTGTTTTTTTCTTATTATTGTATTTTATATTTTTTTCTTTTCTTCTGAGTTTTTATAAAGATACATATGACATGTGTATATGTATACACGTAGTAATATACTTAGTGGAAAAATGGTACAAGTAGAAAGATTTTTCATTTGATAGAAAAGTCTGTATACTTCCCAATATTAAAAGATACTTCTATGTGTACCCCTAAAAATTTGGAAACTAATAATAAAGTTCTGTGCATAAATTCGGATTTGAGGTACCTTTTCTTATTCATTCCGTTTCTGGACAGAAACTGCAGTTGTCTTACTTTTGCACCAGGTTTCTAGTATATTTTAGGCTGACCCATATTAAGTATCCTCGAGTTGTGTAATTACTTATTTTTATTTCATCTTCTTAGTTATCTTCTTAATTACACAGTTTAAGTAGTGTCTATAAAACATTATATATTTAATCAAAATGGCTCCCATATGATTCAATGTACTTCTTTCAACGAATAATTTCGTTACTTTAGTTATAAAAAATAGTTACAAAAATCAATGGTTCTAGAATGCAAGAATTTTTTAAAAACCCTTATTTCGAGATCATTTCTTCAGTAAAGAATTGTTTGGATGTTTATAAAAGAGGAAATCCATAATTTCAAAGTTACATGGCATTATAGAGTCAGTGAACTCATTTAAATTTATTTTTATCTATACTATCTAAGATAACATTTAACTATATTTCTTGAGCATATCAGATGATTTTTTATAATATAATTTCTAATAGCTTGACTATCTCAGTGATAACGTGTTCATGGTGCTGTTTTAAATTTCTCTTTTCCAAATCCTTAATTTGTACATGTTTTTTTATGCAATTATAATTCTACAATTTGTTTCACATGAAAGAACATCATAGTCCCTAGGCACAAGAAACGATAGCAATCTTAGAGTCTCAAAAAAAAAGAACCATAAAAAGTGTAGCTTAATCATGAATATATAACCCATCGTCCTATTTATCCAGGATAAAACGCATTTTGATCGGCCCATTAACGACAGAAACACTCAAGATAAGGTAGGTCTATTCTGTATATCATTCCCACGTTTTCCGCCTATTAACTACTAGCAACACTGATTCGAAGTTAATATACTCCAGAATGAAACAGCGTTTTCCAACCCTCGTCCACCCTCCTTTACCAATTTAACCAATGTCCTCTGATTTCATCCAACCACTTTATCAAACAATTTATGTCCTGCTTCAAGACATGATGAAATATCCTTCAAGAATATATCAGAAGAATATTTGATTTGCCTTATCAAGTTTTAAATTTTTAGATTATATTTTACTACTATTCTATTTTTGATCATTATATTATTATGATATTATTATTAACTCTTTTATTATCATTATTATTATCGTTTAACATTTCAATATATATATATATTAAGAAATAAATATATATATTCATAAATAATAATAATGTACTTTATTACATATAGTATATATTATATAATGAATATTATAGTAAAATGTATATATTATATATTTTAAAATATAAAAATATTATAAATAATTTCTACAAAACATTTCTATATCAATAAAATACTAATTTTGCTAAAACAACTGCTTTCAATAACTGTAAAAAATACGAAAGCTTGAAATCAGTCATTTGTGGACCAGTCTAGCAGATCTAGGGTTAAAATTCCATGAGAGATAGCTAAAATTATCATGAGAAAATGAAACTGTAAACTAAAAATCTATTTGTCCTTAGAAGAAATCACAAACGAGACGTTGTAGACTCTAGTATGAGCAGTTTCTCAGAAAAAGCCGACCGTCGTCGTTCTCTGTATCGGCGAGGGGTTTGTTCCCTGAACCGTGCGGAACACGGAGAAAAGGATACTGTTACGTGTACACGGTCTGTACTCCTCAACCCCGAAAGGGTGTAAAATAATCGTCGTTTGTCGGCAGAATGGAATTTCATTAAGTTCCAAGCCAGCCGTTTGGATTGATTTACGTTCGATATGCCAAGACGAAGAAAATTGATCAAGAACTCGCACAACTCCTGTTTCGTGTTTTCGCGAAATTGAAAACGCCACCTTAACCTCACAGTATCTCGACTGCCTGCGCGTTAATTAACGGATGTTATGTAAGCACCAGAGAGGAATTCGTTATAGTGAAATGAAATTAATTTAACTGGTGTTTGAACGAGTAGAAAAACTGCTGGATAAATGTTTCGTCAAGCAGTAAAATTAGAGTGTACAAGCACACTATCGTATTCTTTATAATATAATACTATTCAAAGATTTCAATTTTTGAAAAGAAATTTATGTTTCATCAAGAAGAGAGTAATATAGTATCTTTTATACTATACAGTCTAGAATACTAGAAAAAGAAGAAGACCAGAAGTCTAGAGTACTAGTAACATGAATATTACAAAAAAATAGTTTTATTCCGATGAAACAACTTACTACCCGCTATAATATAAACTAAATAATAATCCAGCAAAATAAATATATCCGTTCTACTAGAAACAATAAAAAATAGTCACTATTGCAAGAAAACTTGTATAACTTCCATTACTACAACTGTAAGTGTTATCCAACTACTCGATATATTAACTCAAGTATGAGCTTTCAACTACTCAGATTTCCAAATGAGAAATAAACCTGGAGATAGAGAAAAAGGCGTGTCAAATTTACGGTATTGTTTTCAGGTGCGTTATTTATCAAGGCAGAAAGAAATAAAAATACAGGGGAAATTACCTCGCTGCAGCCGCCCCATTCCCAATTATTCGGGTGGCGTGTTCTGACCCGGTTGTCGCACGAGCAATCGGTGAGTTCGCCCCTGGAGCAGGCTCTGGTAACGCTGTAGGCAACCCCCGCCGCCGATATTGCGTACACGAACGCTGCCTCACGACTGTCTGTAAAGATGCACCGAAATTTCTCCGTGTAGTACAAGTTTTTCCATTTCTGCAAGCTGCTAGTGTATTCTACTCTGATAAAAAGAAAAATAAAAAATAAACGCTATACTTGCAGCGTATGGGATTTAATTAAAATTATTTTTATTACGAAATGAAAAGATACCTTTTCCTTGTTTACTAAAGTTATTTATCTTCTTTTACCATTTATAATGGGAGTTGATAACTGATAATATTGGTGTAACTTATATTTCTATTTATGTTTGGATATAAACATTTATATGTTGTATGTATATGCTATATTTATTACCAGTTGTGTTTTCTTTACTGATGTTTCTATAAATGTAATGTTACATAATATTATAGTTAGAATGGCTTCGCATTTAATACTTCGAGTAACCAATAAGTCTCTGTCAAATTTCATTTCGTACTTCCATTTCATATGGTGTGCATCAGTGATAAAAAGCATCCATTTGCACGTCAAGCTAAAACTTTTTTCCCTCTGAGCTTCCATTTCGTCAAGAACATCTTCCATTGTACATCGCGCCTAAGCTTTATTCCCTTCAAGACTGAGCTTTTACTTACTGACTAGCATCACGCCGCCGAAAATGTTGTCCGGATTTTCCGAGCTGATGGAGCAGTTCCATCTGGCGGATCGGAACTGGTGCTGACATTCTTCGATGGCTAATCTCGCGCCTGCGCTGACTGCCTGCAAACAAAAATCGTGAAAACCGCGAACGGAAAGGAAAACAGTGTAACGTGAAAATATACCGGTTTCCATCCATTGGTCCAGAGAGGTGAGAGAAACGGATGTACAAATAAGTATAGTAGTACTAGCTTATGATTAGGTTCGTTTAATGTCGGGTCTAATATTAGAACGTAACTGAATTGGCATCGGTGAATGACATGCTCATGTATAATAGGATCTATTGAGGATCTATTGGCATGTAATTATGGTCTGTAATGGCAGGTGGTTGAAATTAATACTATCTCGATAACTGGAATTACTGCTGATTAGAAATTGTTTTTTGTAATAGTGTTGTTATTGGACGATATTTGTTACCAGTTTGACCAGTTTAGAATAATTTATGGCACTTATGAGAATTTTTTCTACATGATATTTGTAAAGTTCAGAGAAAGTTGGAAAAAGTTTCAGATATGGCTAAAATAAAATAAACGTTGAAATTATTAATTCCATTAATTATCATAAAAAAAGCACGAAAAATACTAAACACAAAACTCACTCACACATTGGTATTGACATGTCGATAAAAATAAAATACATAATCTGAGAACGAATTCATGTTCCATCAATCGCTTGAATTAACCTCAAACTGTCAAATCACACTAGCAGTGTCAATCATACTTCAAATACAACAAACAAAAATCGTACTTAGTATCACAAAATCAATATTACGGAGTAGTACTGAACATTATTGTAAATCAATAATGAAAAAAGATACATTTCACATTATTTCATAAGAAAACATCAGTAAACATCATTGTTGTATGTACTTCAAACCGAACTCGTAACCTAAAAGTCCACGAAACGTCAATTCACCACGATTGATATAAAAAAATCAGAGGAGAGAATAAAGAAAGGAAGAAAGAAAAGCACATGAAGTCTCACTATTAAAATTTCAACACGAAGCAAATCGAAGATCGTTCGATGAGTATCTGGTTAATCATACGTGGATTAAACGCTTAACGATGAGTTGTTATGAATATTCATAGATGGCCCTTTTGTCGGTAAGTAGGATTCGGAAAAGCGAAACGGTCGGCAATGTTCAAAGAGATATATGGCGTCCGGAGTTTACCTAGGCACCGGTTTTTAGTCAAGCCCAGCCCCCGTCCTCTCCACCAAGACAAGATTTGTGCATTAGGTAGCAGTAAACGCGATTTTGAACAACGTTTAGTCGCATTGTGACCGTTCACACTATCTTATCGATGCAGTCGATCGCGAGAAAAATTTTCTTTTTTGCTTTCTAAGTAATACTACTGACATGTAGTATTGCTTTTTGTACTTGGTGTTAATCTGTTATCTTGCGTTATGTTGATATCAATGCATTGACCTATAAACTGGTTTATCTTTTAATTAAAAGTTCCAATTGTGTAATGAAAGCACCTGTAATGAATGATTTTTTGATAGGTTAGATTTCAAATCTTACAAATGCATATTCATATATTAGAAATAGATAATTTATGAATAAATTAATTATTATGTTCAGGACACGGAGTAATCAGACGACAAGTTGAATCATCTTTTCCAATTACGAAATAAATATTTCTATGGGAGGACCATCTGAAATAATATTTCGAATCATGATAATTTACGATGAGAAGAATAATAGGACGTATGTAACAACAGGTCAGTCAATTTTTTTCTTCCAAGTTCAATAACTATGTTACATAAATTGATTTATTACGAGGATGGATGCTTGCAGGTTGTCGACTGAAATCACTGGACTATAAAATTTTTATATACGCATCTCATTCACGACGCGAACCATACATATACTATAATTAATAGTTTTATTATCACATTTTTACTATCCTTCTACTATTTTCATCACCTACAGATTAGTAAATTACAGCAAAATTTGTTCTATCCTATAGTAATAATTTTTAAATAAACGGTATATACATTTATATACGTATCAGTGAATTCTTGTTCAAATTCGAAATATCAATATTTATTATGAACAAAGTCGAATAATTTGTGTCTTGTCATTTATCGTAATGTAATTAAGGCGCGTTTTTAATTGAAAAACCAAGCAATAAAATTTTGATTGAAATTGTTTCAGTGGTTTAGAAGGAAATGGATCATGAATTTGAAAACCAATTCAAAAGACTAAAAGCCTGCTTGCGATTTCCTTTAAGCTCACAATACATTGTTCTACAAAAATGCTTTGTCATAAACCTACCATTCCCGGTATTCTTCTGCGTGGAGAATTCATTTTATTATACGGGTATTGTTTTAAATTTTATTAGCTTTTGAGGTTGTAACGTGGATTTTAAAGCGCTGTATGGCAAGGCCATGTTGAAATTCGTGTATGGGCAGTTTCTTATAGTAATGCGGTTGTTTCAAATTCTCCCTAATAAAATGTTTTTTCTCTTGTTTTTAGTGGATTTCTGTGCTCAGTGTCGACTTTTAATGTACAAATGAAATGATACAAGGAGGAAGTCGGAATAACATGAAGATGAGATTCGACGTTGTTGGTTGGAATTTTTAAATGAGCGTGCTTCACTGTGTATCACTTGGAAATTGCGTATAAAAAATTATACCAATTTATTTAAGAAAATTTATATTTTTAAATTTGACGATAAAAAAAGAATAATCCTTTTGCAGGTTTTCGTAACGGATTTAAAATTAAATGGTAAGAAGATAAGAGATATTCCCAGCAAGTAGGGTGGATGTAGTTTGACTTATTCTGATTCTTGACTTGATTTTTAAACGAGCATATGTGCTGTACTATACTACTCATAAACGATATATAATTAAGAAGTATTAATCGAATTTATGAAATCGCATATAATCATAAAATTTCCATATTTCAAGCCGCAAAAATGTTCGTTTCCTCGAAAAAGAAAGTTCATTTTTATAATAATAATGCATGGTAATAAGTGACAAGTACACTCTGTGATTATTAATAATTCGAATATTAAATTTTGGGTGAATATTCGACAAAATTATATACTGTACTTGAGTATAAAAACAGAAATGTTTGCCCTCTTAAAAATACCAGCCAATAACGTCAAACTTCATCCATGTAATCGTTCTTCTTGTCATTTATCTTTTCGTCCAATAAAAACCAATAGTAGAATGCAGTAGTATATGAAAATTAACGAAATATTCTGTCGCATTTATTGAATTTATAATTTAATATGCACGCAACAAGAATCTCAATTTAGACTAAATTAAGGTATTCCATGCAAGTAAGATATCAAATTAACCATTGAATCGAGGACGAACAATTACTCCAAATCTTTACTAAGAATTTCTCATTCCTGCCATGTTTGTTATATAAAAAAATACAGTGTATAATTCGAAAAAAGAATTAGATTTGGACTATAACATTCTTAAATTGATGCCACTTTTAACCAATTCATAATTCAAAAATTAGCACCTTAAGACTGAAACACAGAATTACTCAAATTTACCTGGAATAGCTAATTTTGGATATTCGACCGTTTCAGACTAATTTACCATGACAGAGGAGTTTTACGAGGATACAAGGCTCGATCTGAGATCACAGAATTCGCGACTTCATTTCCCGACCACGAGCGTCTCGAAAGGAGTCGTGTAGGGTTCACTGAAGACCCTGACTGTTCCAGAGCTCGAGTATTAAATATTGCAGGCGCGGCAAACGAAAGCTACAACTCGACCGCCGCATTCCGGGAGTTCTTTAGAATCGCGCGAATTCACCGGTGCTCTCGCGCCATTTTCCACGGACGTTCAATTTCCCCTCACGATCCAAGATCGTTTTAAACCCTCCGTAACGCCGTGTGACTGGAAAATTACGTATCTACGCGTGTCTATATTTTCTTTTTTTTTTTTTTATTTTCTCTTACCATAATATCCTGTCTTACACCAGTAGTTTACTGTATCATCTATTTATTAAGATTAGTTCGTAAGTCTACAGATATACTCTGTCAGGATTTCGTTTTTCTAGTAATGAAATAATATTCTGCCAACAGAGCTAATTTTGAATTAATTTTGAGCCAATTTTGAGAAAATTTTAAGCTAATTTTATACGTCCATTTATTTCACGGTTTCTTCTGTATTTTAGGGGATCCTGATTTAGCTATACCCGAAGATATAGTGCCAGAGTATTAAGAAGAAATTGGTTGTTCTTCAATAGAATGAGCAGAGCGGATTTCACCGTCGAGATTAAGAAAAGAAAGCACCTGTGGGAAAAGTTGAACATTATTGCGTTTAATTACCTATGACCTCTCTTTTTCGTGTGTAAGTATTATGATGCAGTTGAAACGTAGTTTCTTCTTTAAATTTCTCCAATGAAATAAATCAATTATTAATTCTCCTTTAATTGAATATTTTCATTGATAAATATAGGTCTTTAGAAATGTCTTTGAATCTTTAACACATTGATGATTCGCTAAATACAACAACGAAAGATGGAAAAGCAAAAAAATGAGCATAACAGTTAAGAAAAGGAAGAAGTAAAGAAGACATTTTTCATTCCTTTTCTACTAAAAAATCGGGCAAAAATCAAACACCTGACGTCGTGAGTGAACAAATGATAAAAATTTCAAATTACCACTTCCTCTTCCACAGTAAATCAAAAATTATTCGTTTTCTATTCTAGAATTGACAAAGAAATTATTTAAACATTTCCTTTCCAAGAGAAAACAGAGAAGACTAAACAAAAGAATCGGGAACCAAAAATCAATCTTCACCCGTTCTGTATCCAAAAATAGGCAGAAGGGAAGGACCACACACGCGGCATTCCGAGCATTCAAATTATCCAAACATCTCCATCTCCACAAAAAAGAGAGAGACGAAGCCCAAGTAATCGAGAACCTAAGATCAATCTCCTATCAGTTCTCCGTCCAAAAATCGACAGAGAGGAAAGATCGTGCGGATAACGTTACCAGTGATCGAGTTATCCCCAATATCTTCTTTTCCACACGAAACCGAAGAAAGAAGGCAGATATGGACGAAGAAGGAGAAAAGAACCGAGAACCGATTTCCCCATTCGGTCCCTTTCTCAAAAACCGGTAGAGTGGAAAGATTGCGCGTACAATGTCGTAAACGATCGGCCAACAGGCCGCGCGGAGAGTCGGTGAATCGAATTAGCCGCGTGCTTCCCCGGCCATTAATCCGAGCGGAGAGGAGAGGCTGCCCCTGCCGTGAGGTAAATACCTGCAAGACCGGCGGCGAGCGGGAGCATATCGTCTGCTGCTTCGCGGTCAGGTGCACGCTCTTGCAGTTTTTTTCGGCGCTCGCCGGCCCGATCACACCCGCGCCGACGATCTGCGCCTGGCCTTCGGCACCGCTTCCAGAACCCGATCCGCTGTTCAGCCGAGGCTCCACACCGAGGTACCTGGAACAATCCCGGAAGCAGCGACCGTTATTATCCGCTGGTTATCTGCAATTCACTGTGATTCCTAGGAACAATTTCTGTTCCTGCATTACAATATTTGTACAGAGGTGTCTATGGGGTTTTCTAGGTTTTACTACGGGTATTTTCGGTGATCTTTGGAGTTCGAGATTCGAGATCTAGTGGTGGTACACTGCTTAGAAATTTCTAAAATGATGGTCTTTGTGGGAGTTTAGAAAAATTGGAATATGAACTTTTTAAAATATCTACAATCTTGAGATTTAGGATAATTCTTTTTTGGAAGTTACAAAAGAATTGTATTTGCTAAACGGGTGGTTTTTCTTTGCAAGTTTAGAGAAATTGAAACATGTACTATTTAAAAGAGAGATTCTTAGAAAATTAAAAATCTTGAAATTTGCATTTTCTACAGACACGATGCTTTTTTGTGAATTAAAAAAAGTTGGCGCATGTACTTTTTAAAAAGGCAGTACTTCTTAGAGAATTAAAACTCTTGAGACATGCATCTCTCCAGAAGATAGGACCTTCTTTGAGAGTTTAAAGAAATTGAGATGTGTACTTTCTAAAAGTACTGGCTCTCCTTAGAGAATTTAAAATCTTGAGATTAGTGTTTGCTAGGAGGGTAGTTTCTTTCTAAGAAAGCCTACCCTGTTGCATGATAAGATCCAGCCAAAGTTGCATCCAAAGATTATAATCTGCAATTTTGCCACCTCACCTTCATTCTTTTTGATCTTCCTCTAACGAATTTCTATTTTAACTAAAAATATACCCCACATATTCTAATACTCAATATTCTACGTCTCCAAGTAATTACACGATATCACAAATTTTATTCAAGAAACTTTCTTTCAAGTATGAGCAAGATAGACATCTTCAATATTAACACTAAAACTACCGACTTAATAATGAGTAATTAATACACATCTAATGCTAATTAGTACTCGTATAACAAAGGTGTAATGGTATGTGTAATCACGTTTCCACCCGAATAGAAATTAAAATTAATTTTGTTAAAAGTAGCTATAATGTACGTCCTCGAAAATTGTAAAATTAGTATATCATATCAGACACATTTTAGCGTTAAAACGACAAAGATTCCGTGGTAAAAAATTGTATGCAAGGTTACATTTCGTTGTATCCACCCGCGTATCTCAAGAACCAACCATCTTTCTGATCTTGGTCCCCGATTTCGATATCGTTCTTCTGTCGTTCTCGACCCGTGGAATTCCCGGCCACTTCCCCTGCCCCCTTGTGCCACGAATTACGTGCTCACCCTGTATTTTCAACCATAGAGGACAGCTTCTCGGTAGCCTTGCTCCTACCGAGGCTACCCACAAAGGAACTCTCGCCGTGACGAACCACCTATAATTAGAGCAGGTATTCGAGTGAAAATTATAGAGGGGAAAAGGACGAAGAGCAACAGCTAGGGTAACCGATGCCCGACAGTATATAAGAGGACCCGCAAGAACCAACAACAAGAACTGACGACACGAATCCTTGGTACGATAAGGTGAGGCAGAAGTCTCAAAAGGAGAGAAAAAGAGAGAGAGAGAGAGAGAGAGAGAGAGAGAGAGAGAGAGAGAGAGAGAGAGAGAGACAGGGTTCTTAAAAGACGAGGTCTTAAGACCGCTAACTGACCCCCTCTACCGAGGTAGACTTAACGACAGGTGAAAAGCCAATCCTGCTTCTTGGGGTGTATGCTCGGAGGGTTGGGGCGGGGAAGAGGCGATATTTTCGCGCGTCCACGCTGGAATATAGGTTTTTGCACGCAGGTACTCATTACGGGCGGGCAGCATTAAATAAATTCGATAATTGAACTGGATGGTCGTACACGTTAGATCTTCTAGCGGTCACGACCACCCGTAAATTAATGGAGTTTTACGAAGAATTAAATTCGACACGCTTTCTCCGAGATATACCGTGTACACGCCTCTCGGTTCTGTACGCTTTCACCCAGGTGCCGTGAACTTTCGATGATAAACGTGGTAGAAAATCGTCGTAGGTGAAGATGAGATTTTAACCCTATATGCTTCTACGTTCTGCTGATCTGCGTATATTCCGCCTTACTTTTTTGATCCTATTGGTCTTTTCGTTTCATTTATGTTGATGTAATTTCAATCTGTAAAACTCGAGAGTGACGATATTTTAGTTGGAAATATAGGGTGGACCGTATAATCTGACCACCTTGGTTATCTTCGATTATATAATTTAGTTTTTATTGGAGAAACAATAAAAAATTATTTTATCGTCAATAGTAGCACATAAAAGAATAACGATGAAATAACAGTACTTAATTTTTGTTCAATTAACTGTTTTATTTAAGAACAGAAAGAATCACCTTACTAAAAATGAAAATAACCGAGATGGTCATGTTAAATATATATATTAATTACTAATGAATAATAATTATATATATTATTATTATGCATTGTATATCATTACCATGTACAGTACATGTGCAGTCCGATAATCCGATGTATTTAATAATTTCGTTCTTCGAAATTTTCAGTGAGGAATTATCGGAATTCCGCTACAAGAAATTTTATTCCTTAATCCTTTGAGTACCCCATCAGTTCGTCACAGGGGCAACACGAAGGGTTGCTCTTCGAAGGGTATTACTATGCAAATTTTTCTAGTTTCCTAATTTTTCTAAATTCCTAATTTTCTAATTTCCTAATTTCCGAAAGATTTGGTATCGTACAAAATTTAACTCACGGTAATCGAGCATCTAAAACTTTGGTAAAGCGATATTTCATATGCACCAACCTACTATAATGTTGGAAGGATGAGGAGGAAGGGTTAGGTATTAAAAAAAAAAAAAGGGAGAGAGAAAAAAAGGAAAGGGAAGGAGAGGAAGTCGAGGGGTTCAGAAACGTTTCTCCGCCTTCCGCTAATCGGCGTCGTCGCCGTAAAAAAAAAGCGGCCGCGTCATTTTCTATTATTTTTCGAAGCTGGCCCGCCAGAGCATAGGTAGCGCTCGTTTAGGCGGTAAATCTTAATGAGAATCGAGGGTGTGGCCTTGGCCGGGCCCGGGAACGATGATTGCAACCCCGTGGGCAACGTTTAAGGGAACAGGCGTCGCGTCAACTTCTACACGTACGACACACGCCGAGGGAGTGACCAATTCTCGTGCGGACGCACCTTCAAGCTTCCTTAATGCGAGTTTGAGAAGATTTTAATCTGCTCACGAACTCGATTACTCCCGAAGCGCCTGGCTACTCGGAATTACAGATGTGCACGAGGAAGATAAGTCGCTGATGCTATTAATCCTTTGGGATAATTTATCTCTTACTTAAGATAACCTCTTTATTCGTTATTTTCGTATTTTTCTTTATACTTTTCTCGTTTATATTATCTAATAGAATCATATTTTTCATATTTCCTCGTGTTTCCGATATCTTTGTTATCCACCTGTTAAATCAATTGCATAATTATATCAATTTCAAGTATTAAAATGTGACTGTATATATACATGAACTGTATAAGTATTGGAACTACGTCATATTTTATTGTAAATGAAAATAAGTAGATTAACTTTCCATTATTCTTACCAATTTTAACTTCATTAAATATTCAATAAAAGGTAGTTGCAATTCCTAAACCATTTCCTATTGATCGCCGCCATTATTTCCCCTAAAAAATTCGAAAATAATTATCCAAGTCAAGTAATATATTTCGTTTAAAATCTACTTTTAATTACCAGCAATTATAATTTCCCTAAATTTCCCAACAGTTACAAAACCATCATGTATCCTAAACATTTTTCCACTCACCACTAATACTTATTCTCCACAAATTCCTAAAAAACCATCACGAGTTTGGTAACCTCACCATCGCCATAAAGCCTCTTTCTAATCATCACCGTATCCTCCAGCTAGCAATTTCAATCTCCCGTGCTCGGAAATCACATGAGTCATCTAACGAGGCCGGCCGGCTATCGAGTACAAACTTCACCATAACGGCGTAGAAGCGTTTATTATTTGTTTATGGGCCAGCTTCTCAACTAGCCTAGCTATTTCGGGTTTGTTTGGCCACGGTTTACAGGTCTCTCTCCACGAAAGAGCGTCCCGTTTCACTGACTAGCTCTCTCATTCCCCCTCCAAAATCGTTTTTCGAACGTCACGGAATTATCTTCCGTAGAGTGACGGAAATACACGAAGCATGAAATCATAGAGGGTGGGGGGTCGCGATATATTAGCGTCATCGACGATGTTCGATTTCGGCTAGTGAAGATCGAACGCCTGTCATTTGAGGTATCGATGTTTATGAAAAGGCTGAGTCGATGGTCAAATAGATTTTGTTGGCCAGCTACCCCTAAATACGTGTTAGTCGCGCAATATTGCAATCAATAGGCGGCCAGCGAATAGATGGTCGAAGGTATGGTTCTACTAGCCATAGCTCCGCAATGACTCTTATGGGGAAAAGGTATCGACGGTTCATCGACTAATGCGGTCAAGGTTAGGTGGAAGAGAGTTTGAGGAAGATAAATATGTGTTTATGTTGGCGGTGAGATGTATCGTATATTGAAACGGGTGAGATTGCGAGAGTTTTGGATCATTTCGAGTTTTTTATATACAACTAAATATGCTTTATTACACGTTTTTGTTGCATATTCACGTTACATCGTTTCACAGGAAATTCGACGTTGGTTAAAGCGATAAATAACTCAAAACCACAAGCAAAATCCAATAACTAAATTCCCCAGAAATAATATCGACTACCACAAAAGAAACCCACTCTCTACTACTAACCGCAATCAACCGCCGAAGACGATCAAAAAACCGCAAAAACCCGATCCTGCGAACGGACCCCATTTACCCGGACAAATCGATCGAGATCAAATCACGAGCAAACGACACCGCGCAGGATGTCACCGCCGCACTAGATAACCAGTATAGAGTGCTGCAAGGGAAGAGGCAAGCAAGACGAATAGGAAAAAGGATGCAACAGTCGAGTGCACATTCTGTTCGAGGTTAGGTCCCGCG